GAAATCTGAGTGCTACTCTGCACAAAGATGAGCTTCTTTAAGGCTTTGCAAAAAAGAGCAGGCTGCTGAAGGTACTATTACTGGGGAACTCTAAGACAAACACTTCCCCGGGCTCATACAGAGTTGAGAATCATCCATGTTTCTACCAACAAGATCTCTCCTCCTTCAGATCCTAAGATCACAGTCTTTTCCCCGTTAGCATTTTTTTACATCCCCCCATGAATATATTGGGAGTGGACAAGTTTTAGGGATGTTTTTAATGTTGTGTGAATCTGCTTGGGCTGCCATAAAAAAACCACAAACTTTGTGGCTTAAACAATAAACATTTTCTCCCGGTTCTGAGAATAGAAGTTCATGACCAAGGAGCTGGCAAATTCTACTTCTGGTGAGGTMTTCTTGACTTGCAAACAGCTATCTTTCCTAGTATGTCATTGCATGGCCTTTCCTCAGTACATGCATTCAGATAGGGAGCTGGCTGGTGTCTCTTCTTTTAAAGATATGAATCCCATCAGATCAGGGCCCCATCCTTATGGCCCAATTTTACCTTAATTCTTTCAGGGTTGCATCTCCAAATAAGTTTCAAAATAAGTATTTTGATGGTGATCAAGGGATATGAACATTCTGTCCTTATCAGATATTTGAAATAAAGCTTCTAGGTTCTGTATTACTTATCGTTTTCCCCTCCCATGAAGCTTCTATTTCTCCATCTCTATGTGGGAGAATTATCCCATTAAGCAAGAAGAGAAATGTCCCTTGAACAATACTCCATTAATCCATTGTCTAAAAAGGTATTCTGTCTGCTACTCAGGGATTCTAGGAGAATGGGCTTGAATGTGATGGCTGCACAATTCCAACTCAGTGAATGAATGCAGTCATGTTCTATAGTTTCAGAGTAACATTCTATTGAAGAGAAAGAAAACTTGGAAGAGTGTAGGAACCATGCTCCATCTTCATAGGGTATTAGGACTCTCCCTCAGCATTGGTAGTTCCTAAGTTTATGGCTCAGAGCTCAGGATTACTAGCTCTGCTAGCACCATCTGATCATACTGGAAAGGAGAGATCAGGTTCCCCTGGAGTCACTGCTGGGGGGAATCTAGGCAACTCATTTCCCATCTCAATGGTTCAAACTCTGTATGGTGGTAGGTGCTTAAGAGCACCTTCTTCAGTACCTACTGTGGAATTGTGTTAGAAATGCTCAAATTCATATTTTTCTAAACTGGACATAGTAGATAGTGGGTTCTCTGTGATAATGATGAAACAAATGAGGATTAGAGATTGGGCCTCACTGATATAGACAAGGAGAAATACTGATTTTGCCTATCTATTTAAAATGGAAATATAAAAATGCATACCTATACCTGAATATGATTATTTTGTTTTTCTAAAGTTAACTTTATTTCACAAGTACTATATAACATATATTCCTAAATTAATTGATTAGTAAAGTCTCCTTTAATACACTGATTCCAATATTAGGACTTGTTACCCAATAAACCAATATTATTAGATTAGTGCTCACTCTTCCTGATCATTTCCTATGTAAGTACAAATATCCCAGTATTGACAGTTCATTCGAATTTGAGTCATGAAAATTTCAAATCTACCTTAAAAATGAATACTTTCACATTGTATGTAAATTTTAAGGCAATTTCAAAATATTTTATAAATATCCGATATCACAAAGGTTAAAATTCACATGCTTGGTGAATTATAAATTGAGTTTATTTCTGCTTGGTGTGGTACTAAGGAGAAAAATTATCATGGCAGTATCCTAAAAATAAATTGTCCTGTTATTTACCTGCTTTTTAGATTTCTAAGATGATTTATTGACTTTGGTTTTTATTTAATATCCAGTGTTGTAATTTAAAATTACATAAGAATGTCACCCAGGTGTTCATAAGGTTAGATAGGATACCCAGGGACTGAGAAGAAATGTACTCTGATCCACTGTTTCATTATTTTATTGAAATTAAATGCTTATAAAAATATAAAGCCACAATAAAAATATGTGGGAGTTGTCTGAATTTATGTTGTATAAGAATACATCCTCTGGGGACTGGGATTGTGGATCAGTGGTAGAATGCTTCACTGGGTTTGATTTTCAGCACTGCTTATAAATAAATAAAAAAAAAAGGTATTTTTTAAAAAAGAATGCATCCTTTTTCATTCAGTTTCTAAAGAAAATTGTTATGGAATTATTTCATTAAAATTTTTAGATAAAGACGCTGGACAGATACTTCTCAGAAGAAGATATACAATCGATCCAAAAATATATGAAAAAATGTTCAACATCTCTAGCAATTAGAGAAATGCAAATAGAAACTACTCTAAGATTTTATTTCATTCCAGCCAGAATTGAAGTTATTAAGAATACAAGTAATAATAAGTGTTGGCGAGGATGTGGTTTTCCCCACTCTTACATTGCTGGTGGGACTGCAAATTGGTGCAACCAATCTGGAAAGCAGTATGGAGATTCCTTGGAAAACTTGGAATGGAACCACCATTTGACCTAGCTATCCCACTCCCCAGTTTATACCCAAAGGACTTAAAAACAGCATACTACAGTGACACAGACACATCAATGTTTACAGCAGCACAATTCACAATAGCTAAATTGTGGAAATCAACCTAGATGGCCTTCAGTAGATGAATGGATAAAGAAACTGTGGTGTATATATACACAATAGAATATTACTAAGCATTAGGGCTGGGGATGTGGCTCAAGCGATAGCGCGCTCACCTGGCATGCGTGCAGCCCGGGTTCGATTCTCAGCACCACATACAAAGATGTTGTGTCCGCTGAAAACTAAGAATATTACTAAGCATTAAAGGAGAATAAAATCATGGAATTTACAGGTAAATAGATGGAGTTAGACTATCATGCTAAGTGAAGTAAGCCAATCCCCAAAACCAAAGGCTGAATGTTTTTTCTGATAAGTGGATGCTGATCTATAATGGGGGTTGTGGGGAGCATGGGAGGAATGGAGAAATTTTGGTTAGGGCAAAGGGGAGGGAGGGGACATGGGGGTAGGAAAGATGGTGGAATGAGATGGAAATCATTACCCTAAGTACATGTATGAAGACACCAATGATGTGACTCTACTTTGTATACAACCAGAAAAATGAAAAATTGTGCTCCATTTATGTACTATGGACTGAAATGCATTCTGCTGTCATGTGTAACAGATTAGAACAAGTAAATAAATACATAATTTTAGCCAGGCATGGTTTTGCACATCTGTAATCCCAGCTACTTAGGGAGCTGAGGCAGGAAGATCATAAGTTAGAGGCCATCCTTGGCAATTTAGTAAGTTCCTGTCTCAAAATAAAAATAATTGAAAGGGCTGGGAATGTATGAATATGTGTATAGTATTTAAAAAGAGATCATATCTTACATGTTCTTATGTAATTACATTTTAAATATTATGATAGCAATGAAATCTTATTCCATGTCCCTATTTTATCTTAATGGTGTCCTTAATGGCCAAATAATTTTCCACTTTTCAAAATTGCTTTTCAGTTTACCCATGTCCTAGCTTTGAATATTTAGATAGCCTCTATTTTTTCTCGGTAAGTAGACTTATTCCATTGAGTAAACAAGATAATTTTTTTTTTTTAAAGAGAGAGTGAGAGAGGAGAGAGAGAGAGAGAGAGAGAATTTTTAATATTTATTTATTTTTTTAGTTCTCGGCGGACACAACATCTTTGTTGGTATGTGGTGCTGAGGATCGAACCCGGGCCGCACGCATGCCAGGCGAGCGCGCTACCGCTTGAGCCACATCCCCAGCCCAAACAAGATAATTTTGACCAATTTATGCATTGAAGGAAATTGCCAGATTTGAACAAATATTTCCAAAAATCTTCCTAACTGCATCAAATAACTAATAAGTCAGTGGTTGTTGGGATGTGATACAGAAAGAGCAGAAATTCCAGTATGTCAACACATGTGAGGTTGCTTTTACCGTGATGGCAGAGACACTCAGTAGAGATCCTCTTCAGAGAAGCAATAGGTTGTGGTTTGCTTCTAAGAGTGTGTAGGGATGATGGGACAAAAAAGATGCATTTGTGGCCCATGGGTTAAATCGGCCACGATAAAACATCACTGTCTTGACTGGGCCTGAAGAGGACTTTCACACACGTAGGATGAACCTGAAGCAAATGGTTATTTTTATCTTAAGCAGTTGATATTAGTTATCACAAGTTCTTTCTCTCTATCTGCTCTGTCCACAATACTGGCTAGGTTCAAAGTTACCAAAAGAGTGAAAGTAAAAGTATGGAAAAGATATGCATATAGCCACCACATATGCCTGTAATCCCACTAGTAGGGAGGCTGAGTCAGGAGGATTACAAGTTCAAGGCATACTATGCAGCAATTTAGAGAGCCTCTATTTTGAGACCCTGTCTCAAAATTAAAAATAAAAAGGGCTAGGAATGTATCTCAGTGGTAAATTTCCCCTGGGTATCAAAAAAATAAAATTAAAAAGTCCTGGGGATGGAATCTTAGTGGTAAAGCACAATCCCTAGTATTAAAAAAAAAAAGATATTCATACAGTAACCATAGAAAGCTGAATTAGCTATGTATTATTTGACAAAGTAGACTTTAAAACACACAAAAATGTTTCTAGAAATAGAGAGGTAAACAGCGATGTTTTACAGTGATAAAAGGGGTACTTTCATCAGGATATAACAAGTGTGTATACTGTGTGTGTATATTCCTAAAAATACATGAAGTGAAAACTGACAGAAATTGAAGGGAGAAAAAGAAAATTAATTATACTTGAAAATTTCAGTACTCCACTTTCAGTAGTGTATTGTTATGGATTGCATGAATGGGCTCACCTAAAATTCATATGTTGAAACTCTAATCCCCAGAGGGACGTTTTCATTAGGAAATGAGGCCTTTGGAGGTAATGATTGTGAAACCATTTTGAGGTGATTAGTGTCTTTATTAGGAGAGACAAAAGAATTAATTTTTGTCTGCTTTCTGCCTTGTGAGGAAGACAGAGCAAGACGATTATCTGCAAACCAAGAAGAATGTCCTCACCATAATCTGACCATGCAGGCCTCCTCATCTCAAACTGTCTACAAATGTGAGAAATAAATTTCTGTTGTGTATACCATCCAGTCTATGGTAATCTGTTTTATTTACCCAAACTGACTAAGATATGTATAGAATAATTATGCAGAAGATTAATAAGGAAAGAGAAAAACCATGAACAATAATGTAACCCACTAGACCTAACAGAGTCATTTATAAAGAACACTCCACCTAATAAGGGCAGAATATCATTTTTTACAAATATAAATGAAACATTTTCCAGGGCAGACCATATACTAAACATAAAACAAACTTTGATTAACATAAAATAATTGAAATATAAAGTTTCTTCTCCACCAGAGAAATAATTTAAAATCAGTACCAAATTTGAGGAACTCACAAAAATATAGAGATTAAATAACACTCTTTAATAACCAGTAAGTGACAGAAGAAATAAAAAATAAATCTAGAACATAATTTGAGATGAATGAAATCATATATTAAAATTTATGTGGTAAAGCTAAGGCAGTTCTTAAAGGGAATTTATAGGTATAATGTTTATATTTTAAAAATTCTCAAATTAGTCATCTAACATTCCACCTTAAGAAACCATGAAAAGACAGGGGTTGGAGGAAGATGGAAAGGTTGAGGAGGTTGTTTTCCAAGCTGCTCCATGGCATGAGACCAGGAAAGTAGATAAACAGCTTCTCAGTGAGGTGGTTCGTGAAAAGAGAGATTTAACTGGGACTTAATACTAGACTCTCAGAACAGTTTAAGGAATCAGAAAGTTGGATATGGTAAAATAAAAGAAGAAAACCCATTACTGGTGGGGAGCTGATCCACTGCAGGTAAATCAGGAAGGGGGACTAAAAGAACCTGCATTTCAGGTGGCACCACGGCATGTCTTGGTACAGAGAAATTAGAGATCAAGAACATTGCCAGACTGATCTAGAGGGTAAGCTACACTATATCCCCCTGTGGGAAAGATCCACACACCCCCTGGTTGTCTGTGGAGAGCTGTTCCTGACAGTGACTATGCAACAGTCAGGGAGCTGCTGGAAATCAGTGACAGACTAGGATGTGTTCCTGAAGTGTCTTACACCTCACAGTGTAGGATCTTGGGCATTACAAAGTTGTTTTTTCATGTTTATTATTTTAGTTAGTTCTCATGAATTTTTGACATAGATAAGGAAAATGAACTTTAGAAAAAAATGAGTGATAAGTTCAGCTAAACAACACTAGTAATGTACTAATATGAGATTAGAAAATAAAGTTTTTCTCCTTCTACTGAAGTACCACATTTTCCCCAGGGTTGAGCACATGCTAAAATTGCTTATTGAATGGAAGGACAGCAGAATAAAAATAGACATTATTATTGCTGTGAGTATATAAGTGACTGCATGACCAATGTAATTCTGCAACCTGTACACTCAGAAAAATGAGAAATTATATCCCATCTGATTCAAATGTATGATATGTCAAGATCATTGTATTGTCATGTATAACTAATTAAAACAAATAATAAAAATTGCTTATTGGGAGGGTTTTTTTTTTTTTTGTCTTAGAGGATTGTCTCCTTCACCTTTACCTTCCTCCAAGATAGGCTCACCATTAAGACAAAGCAGATCTCAGGGTTGATAGGTGAATTCACTACTCCCCCATCTCAACCCATGTGCTTTACACACTCTCCTTCTCTTACCAAGATCCTGGAAAGGACAATTTCCCTAAAAAGTCAGAAGAAAAGCATTGGACCAAAGTTACTATATCTTGTTATATCTTCCCTGTAAGTAATCCCTTTATCACATTAATCCACCCTTATGGGTGGCTTTCTATACTTTCAGTTACCTGTGGTCTGCTGTGGTCTGAAATTTTTTAATGAAAAATTCCAGGAATAAACAATTCAGAACTTTTAAGTTGCATCCCATTCTGAGGAGGGTGATGAAATTCCATGCTGTCCTGTTCCATCTAGCCCAGAACATGATTCATCCCTTTGTTCAGTGTAGCTTGTTGTTAGTCACTTGGTAGCCATCTTGGCTATCAGATTGTGGTATTGCAGTGCTTCTGTTCTGGTAAGAAGGCCAGTGGTAGCCTTATTTCTTCATAATGCCTATGTCAGTCACCTCACTTCATCTCATCACATAGGCATTGTGTCTCATGTCCTCATCACAAGAAGTTTGAACACAGTATAAGAAAATATTTTGAAACCACATTTAAATAAATTTTGTTATAGAATAGTGTTATACTTGTTGTTATATTGTTGTTGTTATCCTCTTTCTGTGCCTAATTTATAAATTAATCTTTATCATAGTATGTATAGGAAAGAACAGTATATATAGGGTTTGGTCCTATCTGTTCTTTCAGGCATCCACTGGAGTCTGTGGATAAGGGTATTTGAGTGTCAGGGGTGACTACAATATCTTATTCATGTAGATAGTGACTGCATTTTAGCCTTATGTTTAATTACAAAGGCAAAACTGGGCCTCCTTTTTAGCTACAATGTTCTTGTTATGCTCTATACATGCTGTGTACCTAGTAGATGGTCAGTGGAGGTGGGGAATGCACACAGAGGGGACTGAGGGCATAATAATAACAACTGTCATCTCCAAATTTGAGAGAGAGGAAAGATATATGAAATATGGAGGAAGTATCTTATACTCCTCAAATGGGACCCTAGCTGAACATAACTGCTGATTGCTCAGTCCCACTAAAACTGGAGTTTCTCTGCTTCTGCTGGTGGGTAGGGTCTGCATAAGTTGCAGGATTCTGCAGCTAAGAAAGCTCATTTTAGTGTTATCAGATCATCAAGGCAGGGGATGCCTGCCAGCAATAGCTGCAGGGGTCACAACTGGCAAACCTGGATTCTTCTTCACTACTATTAAGTGACATGTAGCAGCTCTTAATGGCAGGCTATGCTATTCAGTGTCACAGCAGATTCAACAGTTAACTGCCAATTTCTTTCTGGGTTCTTGTCTCTCAAATCCAAAGAATGAAATTTACAAACAATGGAATGCAAAAGTGAAAAGTGTAGGGTGTATTTAAATATGAGAATAGAAATACAACTGTTACAAGGCGAGGAGGACCTGGTAGCAGGTTGCTGCTTGAGTGTGCTGATCTAGGGAYTTACATAGCTCTTGGGTCAATGCTGTTGATYCAAATTTATGTTAATCAGGTTTCAGAAAAGTATCAACACTATTAGATAGCTCTTGAGTCTGAACTTTCTTCCATTTGGGTCTGCTCCCGCTTCCATTTTCACACTGTTTATCGGATCCAGACTGCCAAGGGGCGACAGCTTGGTGCACCCTGGCTTACCTCAGCCTGCACTCCAGCTGGTGGGAGCCTACACTCCACTGAAGCTTCTCTGTGGGGATTGGCTATGCAGCTTGGTTGCCAGAGAGCCATATTGACTGGGACAAGGGCTTGGATTCTCCATAATTACCAGAAAAAGGGAAACATATTTAGGCAAGAGACATGTAGAGAATAAGAAGTGGTAGTAAGCAGTGAGAGAAACCCATTGTCAGGGTTTCTGACAATTATTATTATTTCATTATTAAAACAGTTATCTGCTATTGTATAGCTTCCAATGCTTTCTTTCTCCAATTTCCCAATGTTACCTCACCATCAAGTATTAGAAAATAATTGTGATTAATTTTGATTTGTTTTATAACACGGTCTTTCATTTTCTCCTGAGTCTTCTGAGCAGCTAGTAGTTTTGAGAACTGAAATGAAGTAAAACCTGAAAGGAGGAGAGGTGTACTTATTTTTCCAATATGAGGTGAAGTAATCCTGAATGTTAAAGTAAATGTACACATTTTTGATTGTGGGTGGTTATCAATAGCTATGATTATAATGAAAACTCTATTATGTCTTTTATATCCTGCTCTCTATTTTATTAAACTTTTTCACCTGTAATATTTGATCTTTAGAGAGATACTTAGAGACAGATAGGGTTCTTTTATTTTTATTTTTTAGTTGTAGATGGACACAATACCTTTATTTATTTTTTTATTTTTTTTTATTTTTATGCTTTATGTGGTGCTGAGGATTGAACCAGTGCCTCACACATGTTAGGCGAGCGCTCTACCACTGAGCCACAACCCTAGTCCCCAGATAGGGATTTTATGATTCCAATCTTATTGATGAAGACCCTTGGTCTGTTTCTCAGGTGTTCACCCCAGTTAGGGTTCATGCTCAGCCTTTTTCTGAACCAGTCTTCATAGTATCATACATAGTATCATACAGTTTTCATTTATTCACAAATACTTATTGATTTTTCTACTGTGGCAGTGAGTTGGTATGAGAGATTCCGTGGACAAGAGGTATTGTGAGTAGTATTCATTCTCACTCCTGTTTGTTCAGGATCTTGGCTTCAATGAAAAATGTTATTTGTCAATGGTGGTAGAAATTCTTCATCCTTCTGGGATCCACCAAATACCATATATTCTTTCTCTGCCATATGTACTCCACATCTATAAGCTCCACATCCACGGATTTAACCAACTATGGATCAAAACTATTTGAAAAAAATTGCATCTGTATTGAATATATACAGACTTTTTATTCTTGTCATGTCCTCCTAAATACACAATGGTACCTATACTGCATTATGTATTATAAATTATTTAGATTCAAAGGATACAGAGAACATACATAGGTTACATTCAAATACTGTATACCTTATAAAGGGACTTGACATCTGTGGACTTGGTTATCTTTAGGGGATGGGGAAATCCTGAAACCAATACTCCATGGGTACAGAGGGAAAACAATATACATAAACTCATACACATACACGTACATATACTTACATATAGACACACACAGGGCTTGGCACAAAGCATGTGTCCAATAAATCATTAACATTAAGGTGATAGTGCAATAAATAAAAACTAATTCATCCCTGTATTCCTAGATAGGATTCAAATGTAGACATTGTTTGGTTAGGGCTATGTAGGGCTTCTCATGAGGGACAATCTTCACCCAACCCATACATTTCTGGAGATATTTTTGGTTTTTACACTAATGTAGGGGGTTTTCTACTGGCAAGTAGAGGCCAGGAATGCTGCTTAACAGCCTACTATGCACAGGACATATTTTCTCCCAAACAAAGAATTATCTGATTTTGCCTCCCAACAGTTAAACATTCTCAGACCCTGACCTGCAGGGTGACATCACATTTCTTCTAATAGTGCAGACCTGATGCTCTCTCAGATCATTCCTTACAGGTTGTCTATATATATATATATATATATATATATATATATATATATATAAACATTTGCCAATGTTCCATCATCCTTGGGACCTTCTTACTCAGCACACCAAGCATCTTGCATTTGGTTCAGTTGGAAATAACAATAATATTTATATCTCATCTACTATGGAACATGCCTGTTTTAAATCCTTTCTGTTGGCTCAATCCTCACAACACTATGAGGAGAGGAACTACCTATCACAACCTCGGATTACAGATGAAACTAAGCAACCAAAGGTTCAAGCAACTTGTTCAAGGTGACACACAGGGCCAGGGCTCGCTAGTGGTAGTTGGGATCAACCTCCAGCATTCTTGTTCTTAAAATTCCACATTGTATACCTCTCAGTCCACAAATGAAGTTGGGTACCAACAGTCATAAGCTAACAAAGAGTGTTTACATTAAGGAGGAAGCACACACATGCTTACCAAGGTGAAGAAAGTTCTGCCTTTAGATTGGTTATCACCTTATGTATCAAGAGATTATAAAATGTCAGTCCAAAAATCCAGTCACACAAAATGGTGGACATGTTACTGAGATACAGCAACAGAAAAGAATGGCCCAGATGGTGGAATGAGACAGACATCATTACTCTAGGTACATGTATGATTGCACAGATGGTGTGACTCTACTTTGTGTACAACCAGAGAAGTGAAAAATTGTGCTCCATTTGTGTACAATGAATCAAAGAGTATTCTGCTGTCATGTATAACAAATAAAAATTAAAAAATGAGAAACAAAAAAAAAATAGTGATCCACTGAAAACTCCCCTGGTGCTAATGAGAATGGGCCACTTGCTAGTGGGAATGGTAGGCAAAAAACAAAAAATAAAATCCTATAAGCTTGAAAGAAGGAAGAGAGGAACATACCAGTTACTTGTATTTCATTTAAAGCATACCCAATGTATGAAAATTCATGTTTACAGACAAGATGAACTAAAATGACCTTATTCCTATTACTAAAGGAATCCATTTTAAAAAGGAGGAAGACATATCGAGGAGCAGAAAGGTGGGGGAGCTAGAGGAGGAGGAGCTCCAAGAGTTGGAGCTCTGGCCTGGATGTCAATGGTGTTTGGTGGGTTAGAATTATAACTAGGATCTGTTACTGTTCTTTTCCAATTATTCTAACTTAAAGGTATCTTTAACAACAAAGGAATATGATTCAGTTCGAATGCAAGTGGAGGCCTTAGAAGCCCATCACATACAGACTAGAGGTTCAGTGTAGGTTCTAGAGACAGCCGATTGGAGTAGAATGCCAGGCCTTCCTCTTACCTGTTGTGTGAACTCAAGCAACTTGCTCGCTGTGTTTTGGATTCTTCAACTGTTAAACAGAGGATAATCATGGTCCTTCCCTCAGAGGTCATGTCAATAGTATGATGGCCATCAGTACCTAATTTTCATGAGCACTACATGTGTTAGCTACTCTTTTTACCAGCCATCAACTTTCTCAGGTCACTGATTTGTGGCCATCTCAGTATTTTTAATTCATAAATCTGTATAATGAGAATTTCTATTTCACAGGGTAGTTGGTGAGGATTAAATAACACAGAATAACAATGGAAAATTAGAAAACATCATACAAATATAAGTGGGTATAATTTTAGGGAGCCCTGAAGCCACTTATTGTACCACATACATAAAAATTATGCTCCTGAACTGGGTGGAAGCATTTTCTAGTATATGGAGCCAAAATCAAGTTACAATTTGCTTAAGTGAACTTAAAAAAAAATTGGGGGGTACAGGGTATTGAACCCCAACTCCTCTCACATGCTAAACAAGCATCCTACTACTATCAAGCTATCCCCCTCAGCCCACTAGTAAACTTTAAAAAAAACCCAAACTTTTTTGGGTGGTTGACAGGTCAGCAGACTCCCAGATATGGAGAAAATGATTAAAGCTAAGTCTGCAATGTCTTTTCTGTGTCTCTGTTTCTACTGCCGGCAGCTCAATTTAAACACCTAGAGCCAGCTAAAAGATGGTCAAAAAAGATAAGGAATGCCAGGTGTGGTGGCCCACTCTAAATCCCAGAGACTCAGGAAGCCAAGACAGGCGTTCTAGGCCATCCTCAGTAATTTAGCAAGGCCCTAAGCAACTAAGTGACACCTTGTCTCAAAAAAAAAAAAAAAAAAAAAGGTTGGGGATGTGCCTCTGTGGCTAAGTATGCCTGTGTTCAACCCCTGGTACCAAAACCAAAAACAAACCAAAAGGGTGTGGAGGGTGGGGCGACAAGAGTCCAGGCACAGTAACACTAAAGTCTTCATAATCTGAATCTAGGATGAGACCACTTTTCTTTTTATCTCAGTTCTACTTTCTAACAGTTCTGCTATCTCTGTAACCTGAAGGGAATAGAAGGGAGGAATAGTGACATTTCTGCTTAAAGAATGTTTAGATAAATGCTGGGAGGAAGAGATGGGACTTACAAGCACCAGTGAGGTTTTTCACCTCACRTGAGCATGCATGTCTCTTCCTCCTCCCCATCTGAACCCCTACTCCACAGTCTAACATGCTCACCCTTCTGCTGTCTACAGAATTAATATGGTTGATCCCTCTCCTGTAGATGCTCTCAATCTCCTTGCTTCCTTGAAACCTTCTCTTATTTTCCTCCTTCCCTTTATCATAGAGGCTTGCCACTGTGTAGGATTTTTGTTCTCCTCACACATTTTGAACAAGGCTAGTATRGTTGAAGTGAAAAGAATGATAGTGTGCCTGAAAATGAGATTAGGGAGAAGGACCCAGAACAAAGACTGCAGAAGTTGGATTCTACTTTGTCATGAAAAGCCATTAAAGGAGTTTTGAACAAGTTTTGTACATATCTGGTTTTTAAAAGATAACTCCAGTTTCTTTGTGTTTAGTCTAAAGGGGACAAAAGTGGAATCGACAGATGACTGTAGCAAAGGCAGTAACCACAGTGGTGCTGGTAAAGGTGGTGAGAAGGGGTCAGATGTGGAATATTAAAATGGTAGGAACTGGAGCAACATTTTATTGTTTTTTCTTGCTGCTACTGTTTGAAATCTTCTATAGTACAAAGATAAAACAATAATGAAGACACACAAATTGGACCTTTCTCTGGCTAGAGTGTCTAGGAAAGATGGGTGCTTAATTTTATTTGTGCAGCATGGTTTGAAATGGCTTATCCCCTTCAAAAACTCTATTGTGAGGTATTAAGAGGGTGGAAACAATCCAACTATGGTGATTAGTAGTTGGGCCTTTGAGAACTGATTAGRACTTAGGTAAGGTCTTTAGGGTGGAACCCCATCATTGAAGACTGGTGGGTTTATAAGAGGGAGGATATAATGACACRTGCACACTTCCCATGTGATGCCCTCTGCTGCCATCAAGAAAACCTCTCCAGATATAATCCCTAGACCTTGGATCAGAACCATGAGCCAAAGTAAACCTTTTTTCTTTATAACCCAATTAGTAGTATGATTATTAGCAACATAAAACAGACTATGACACTGTGAATTAGAGCTTCCAGAAAAAAGCTTAAGAATCCTGTGAGGGCTGGGGTTGTGGCTCAGTGGTAGAGCGCTTGCCTAGCATGTATGAGTCCCTGGGTTTGATCCTTAGCATCACATGAAAATAAATAAATAAAAGTACTCTGTCCAACTACAACTAAAAAATAAATATTAAAAAAAAAAAAGAATCCTGTGAGAATCTCAGCCTTTGGGATAGGAGTTCCCTGTGTTTCTCCTTTGCTAGCAAAGCAATAAAACTTCTTTTTCCTTTTTCTTAAAAAAAAAAAAAAAATAGGATCCTGCCACAAAATCTTTTCTCTCTGGAGAAAAGAGAGGATCATCTGTTCAGATTGCCCCAAATGAGGAGCAAGTGGTAAATTTTCAAGATGAAAAGGACCAAAGGACTCTTACAAATAAAGATTCTGAGTCTTTTGAAATCCTGACAATCATGCTGCCTCAGATCTGTGGGAGGAAAATTCATATAAATGAGCCAGTGTTCTCAGGAAATTAGAGATCAGTTGGTGACCCAAGAAAACCTGACCAAAAATTATGTGGGGAGAATTTTTCCCTGAGTTCAAAGAAACCCATGGTTAGTATCTATCTAACAGCAGAGTTTAAAACTCCAGTTTTCAATAGTAGAACAAACTGCCAACGCTGCCTAAGGAGAGATTGTGAAACCAGTGTTTTGATGTCAAGGTGATGTGCACTGGTGTGTTTATGTCAATTAGTTTTATCGAGGTACAATTTATAAACAATAAAATCCACCCATTTATGTGAGCAATTCAGTGAATGCAGTCATGTAGTCAAACCTGATATAGAAAATTTCCATCCCTCAGGCTGGTCTGAAGGTAGTGAGTTATCTCAATTGAATGATCAGACAGTTACAGAAAATTTCCATCCCTTATGCCACTTCAGTCACCTCTTACCCCACTAACAACCACTAAACTGCTTTATCTCGTTACAGATTTGCCTTTTCTAGAATTTCCTATACATTATGCAGTAATTTGAGCCTGAATTCTTTCCCTTGGCATAATGCTTTTGCAATTCATCCCTGTTGTTTTCTCAGCAGTTTCTTTTTACTATGAAAAAAGTATTCATTATATGGATCTCTGGTTTGTTTTGCTTTTTCATCTTCTGATGGATACTTAGGTTGTTTTCACTCTATTACACCTGTTATAAACTTGCAAAGAACTTTCATGTAAAGGCTATGGGTGAACATTAATTTTCACTATTCTTAAAGTAAACTCCTAGAAGTGGAATTACCATGCCAGGTGATAAGTTTGTCTCACTTTATAGGAACAGCCAATTGTTTTCCAAAGGCTTATACCATTTTCCATTTCCATTAGTAACTTGATCCCTGCTCTTGAATTTTAGAGGGCTACGTAGAACCTAAAGGAAATATGAAAAACATAAGGCACATAATTTGAAGAGAAACAATAAGTCTAATTTCTCAAGAGAATGTGAACAAAGAAAAACATGCCCTGCTTGGATAAACATAAAGTTCTTGCAGTTAAAAATTCTGGATAGGATACATAATTCTAATAACACTGCTAAATTGCACAGCACAGATGTTTTCACTGTCATCAACCAGAATAATAGTCCACTCATTGTATAGCATAACACAGTGCATGATACTTAAATACTTTAAATGGATGAATGATTTTTCAGTGAGGGAACATATATGAATAACCTTACTATCTATCTCCTTCATGAGATACAGTAAGAGTTATACTAAAAATATTTGAGTCTTTATAGTACAAGTACTCAAAAGCTTGAACAGGTTCATGTCACTTAGTGGGGATCTTTCCTGTGAACTCGCTGGTGGATGTGAAGGTTGGAGCTCTGGCTGAAGCCCTTTCCACATTTGCTGCACTCATAGGGCTTCTCTCCAGTATGCACTCTCTGGTGGATAAGGAGTTTGGAACTCTGGCTGAACCCTTTCCCACACTTGCCGCAGTGATAGGGCTTCTCCCCAGTGTGGACCCTGAGATGGATGCGAAGGTCTGAGCTCTGGCTAAAACCCTTCCCACACTCATAGCACTGGTAAGGCTTCTCTCCTGTGTGGATGCACCGGTGAATGTGAAGGTTTGAGCTCTGGCTAAAGCCCTTCCCACACTCTCCACACTTGTAGGGCCTCTCTCCTGTGTGGACTCGCTGGTGGATGTGCAGGTTTGAGCGCTGACTGAAGCTCATCCCACACTCCCCACACTCATAGGGTTTCTCCCCAGTATGGACTCGCTGGTGGATGTGCAGTTTGGAGCTCTGACTGAAGCCCTTCCCACACTTGTCACATTTATAAGGTTTCTCGCCCGTATGGACTGCGTGATGGATAAGCAGACTAGAGCTCCTGGTGAAGCCCTTCCCACACTGCTCACATTTGTAGGGTTTTCCTTCTGTGTGGTCTCTCTGATGAAGTGGTATTTCTGAGTTCTGACTGAAGTCCTTGCCACACCCACCACATTTGCACTGTTTGTCTGCAGTATGGATTTTTTCAGAGGGGTGAACATCTGGGCTGGTAATTGGTATTTTCTCACAGTCATTATGGTTACAGGGTTGTTCCTCTGTGTGAGCTCTCTGATGACTACAGCTAACCAACTGTGATCTCCATCTATAAATATCTTTACAGTTACAGTCAAAGGGACCCAAAGAACCCTCCAACTGTCTACTCTGGCAATTTGCCTCATGACCAAACAATGGTGACTCCAGTTCTGTTACATCAGACACAAGTTTAACTTGAAGGTTTTCTGAACAATGGTTTATCGAAAGATTTTCCCCTCTTATTACTTTTCTCTCAGTGCTTTCTTCAGTTACAAAAAGATCTCTGCTCTCCTGAGGATCCTGAAGTTCTTTCTTACAGAATTTCACAGGGGAGTCTTGTGTGGCCATTTGGCTTGGAATTTCAAAGACAAATATATTTCATTTGCAATGTTTCTGAAATCATCACTTTGAAGAGTAACTACACTATTCCTGTTTCTGGAACTATGACAAGATGCTTCTCTCCACTTTTGACACAGGGAAATATCTCAGGATCCCCATGTACTTCTTTAAGGGTTTATAATCCAGATTCCAGGTATTATATTGTCATCTCTTTCAAAATTAGCCAGTAGATGCCATAACAGATCCTGAAGTTCTTTCTCTTGGTTTTCCACAGAACTTTCATTCATGTCTCCTAGGGAACAAGAAGAATTTAGTGATAAGAACCAAGGGTAAATTTCAAGATAGCAGAACAGGAGTAGCTAAGGCCTGAAGACTTTGTAACCAGGAGAAAGTTCAGCTTGTCTTTCTAGTCATGTCCTTGGATTAATGTCAGGAGAAAAAAGCCTTGAGTTCAGAAGTCAGACATTCCCTTTCTGATCTAAAACAAGGCCAATAATCGTGAAGAGGTTACTGAATCCTATACCCTTCTTTCCCACAAATAACATTTCATTTTACTGTATTTTATTTTTAACAAATTCTTATTTTATTGATACTCTACTTTCAGAGGTGTTGGGGATACAAGAAAATAGAAATCCTTCTGCTTAGCAAGCTAGAGCTTCCTGGGATGAAAGACAAATATATCAACAACAATAATACCATGGTAAGTGGTACAGATGTATATACAACATAATACATGCACAACTAGCAATGGGAGCATAAAATAGGGGAAATCAACCCAAATCTTGGGGCCTTGGAAAGATTTCTCAGAGAATATGATGACCAAAGCGGGGGAAAAAGTGAAATGTCCCTAGGGCTTGGGAGGGTGAGGCTCTAAAAAAATTAGCAAGACTCTGTCTCAACACATTTTATAGAAGAAGAAAAATGATCGGTCAACAAATACATGAAATAATGTTCAACATGTCTAGTAATTACAGAAATGCAAAATAAAACTGAACTGAGATTTCATCTCACTCCAGTCGGAATGGCAATTATCAAAAATACAAGTAACAATAAACATTGGTGAGGATGTGGGAGAAAAGGTACACTCATACATTGCTGGTGGGACTGTAAATTGGTGCAATCACTCTGGAAAGCAGTTTAGAGATTCCTCAGAAAACCTGGAATGAAACCACCATCTGACCCAGTTATCCCACTCCTCAGTTTATACCCAAAGGACTTAAAAAATAGCATACTACAGCGATACAGCTATACCAATGTTTACAGCAACTCAATTCACAATAGCTAAGCTATGAAACCAACCTAGGTCCCCTTCAACAGATGAATGGATAAAGAAAATGTGATACATATACACAATGGAATATTACTCAGCCTTAAAGAATGAAATTATGGCATTTGCCAGTAAATGGATGGAACTGGAAACTATCATGCTAAGTGAAATAAACCAATCCCCCAAAATCAAAGGTTGAATGTTCTCTCTTATATGTGGATGCTGACTCACAATAGGCTGGGGGAGGGGAGGGAGGTTCACTAGATTGGAGGGGGAGGCAGGGGGTGGGGTGGGACAGAGGCAAGGGAGAGGGGAATGGGAAAGTCAGTAGAATGAATTGTACGTATACATGAACATTCGAAATGTTCATGTATGAATACATAACCAGTAACTCCACATCATGCACAACCACAAAAACGGGAAGTTACACTCCATGTATGTATGATAAGTCAAAATACATTCTATTGTGATATATAACTAAAAAGAATAATAAAAAAAAAAGACCCTGTCTTTAAAAAAAAAAAAAAAGCTGGGGATGTTGCTCAGTGGTTAAGCACCCCTGGCTTCAATCCTTGGTACCAAAAAAAAAAAAAAAAAAAAGTGAAATATGGAGAGAAAATATGTGTTTGGAAAAACTAAAAGCAGCTTATTGTAAAGCAGATAAAAACAAAGGAAACAGTGGGACTGGAGGGTGTAGCTCAGTGGAAGAGACATGCCTAGCACATACAAGGTCCCAGAGCTTCATACCCAATTCATTTTTTCTTTCTTCTCTCTCTCTCTTACACATACACACACAAAGCAGGAGGCAGAGCAAAGGGCTTGCTGTCTGACACTGAGTTCTTCCAGCCAAACTTAGCATTAACTGAAACCTATTAAGGATTTACATTTAGGGTGAAATAACTGTGATTATAAACACCACTGGAAAGCAAGACTTTAGATAGACAGTTGCTATAGCAATTCATAAAAAAAATGGTAAGGGTGACTGTTGTGGAGAGACAGAGAGAAATTCATTCTAAATCATGTGATAAAAAAACAAAACCTAGAAGCCTAGGGGAAAGAAACACTAAGCATGCTCTCCAGGTTCCCTGTCTGAGTGACTGGTGTGTTGGTGCTGTAATGGATAGGAAGTGAAAGGGGAAAAGGTTGAAGTGGGGAAGGAGACAGATAACAAACTTAAAATTTGACTTGTTTAATTTGTGGTGCTGGTGGGGTGTTGTTATAGCTGTCCAGGACCAGAGAGCTACATGGGTCTAGAATCCTAAGAGAATTGAGCTCAGAATACAGAGTTTACTTACTGGTATGTATGCTAGTTAAAACACAGTGTCGGACTGAGGCTGTAGCTCAGTGGCAGAGCACTTGCCTAGCATGTGGTTCAATCCTTAGCACCACATAAAAGTGAAACAAAATAAAGGGACGTTGTCCATCTATAACTACAAAAAAACATTAAAACACAGTGTAAATRTATTAGATTGCTATTAGAATAGAAATGTTGAGGAACTTCTAGATGATGGAAAACAGATAGATTAGGAATGATGGGAAAATTAAAGAAAAAAGTACACAGCTCAAATCATGTATAGAAGATTTTGGAGGTAAGGGATTCTCAAAAAGTCCTAGAAATTTAAAACCAGACTCAGAATCAACAATATAAAGCAAGACAGGCTTATTAATTCAAGTTAAGCATTCCAAATGTACTTGTTGTCATTAGTAGCACCACTCTCCCAACTCTCCTCTTGCCCACAAAACCTGAAATTTTGGTGACTAACAGCAGGGACCCCATATAAAGTCTCAAGAAACACGATCAGCCAGCCAGAAGGCTCCTAATAGTATTACTTGGGCTGAAGAGAGAAGCAGAGGTTGGGTTATTGTTGAATCTACACAATGACAAGACCAATTAAGGTACAAAAAGAAGCAACTGACTCCATATGTGCCCAGGATAGCCTTATGGTAACCTCTGAAGCAGACTTCTGGAGAAAGCAAGATAGCCCAGAGCTTGAGCTGGAGAAGCAGGACTTGCCCAAGTAACTACTGGAACAAAGGGGTGGCCTTTAAAAGTGGCTTCTACCATCCACCATCTAAATTTTCATTAGATTCTCCCAAGCCCAACCAGCAGAGGAATCCCTAAAGTAGAACACACATGTGCCACAGTGGTAGAGCATTGGCTGAGGATGCACAGTATACCATCATACTGGGAATACAAGACTTTTGAAAAAATATATAAGGAGTCAATTAAAAAATATACATAATCGGACTAAAAAAAAACTACTAAGAGGCACAAACTCAAGAAACAGTGAACAGAGGAAATAGGATTTTAAAGGTACATAATTAAAATACCAGAGAAATCAGAAGATATCATATTTAAACACAACTGAATAATATAAACATACTGCTATGAAAATAAATCATGATTCTTCTAAAAAATGATTAATCATAAGTAATACCTGCTGTACCCAACTAAAGCATTCAAGTATTGGCTGCACAATTTTATGTTACAAGAGCTAGTAGGATACTCATTCTGCACATGAGGAAACTCAGGCTGAAAAAGCTTAAGTGACCTGTATCACAGATAAGTGTCAGGCTATCTTATTTTAAGGCCTASAATCTACATGGGGGGAATGGCGAAAAAGAAAATATGGCTAAGCTGGAAGATTGAGGGATTCTCCTAGAAGAAAGATAAAAGTAAAGGCCCATTTCCTACTAGTATTATGAGGGTAGTATTGGCATAATAAAGTCAGAGAAAATTATCAAAGAGATAACAAAAAATTTCTCCCCTCAGAAATCAAGATTCAGAGCCGATGCTAAAATGGTATGTGAAAAGACCCATAATTTTTAGGCACAGACTTATAAAACCTCAGGAATTCAAGAAAAACAAATAATAACAAGGCCAATCAAAACAACAAAACAACAACAAACCCAAAACAAAACAAAAAGCTGGGCATGGTGGCACACGCTTGCAATCCCAGCAACTCAGGAAGCTGAAGCAGGAAGATCACAGGCTTGAGAGCAGCCTAAGCAACTTTAGGGAGACCCTGTCTCAAAATTTAAAAAAATTAAAAGGTCTGGGGATATAGTTCAGTCRTAGAGCACACCTGGGTTCAATCCAAGGATGAGAAACAAAATAATAAAAACCCCATAAAACCCCCCAAATGCTAAAAGCAACCAGATAGGAAAGCCAGACTATGTGCAAAAAATATGAATTATATGGACATTAAACAAAATCTGGAGAAAAAGTGATTGTGCAATAAAAATTCTATGGGCTGGGGTCTTAGCTCAGTGACAGAGCACTTGCCTACATGTGTGAGGCACTGGATTCAATTCTCAGCACCATAAATAAATAAATAAATAAATTAATTAATTAAAGGTCCATTGACAACTAAAAAAAAAAACATTTAAAAACAATTCTATACACAGTCAATCCAATAGAAGGAAAAGAGATATTTTTAAAAAATATTTATTTATTAAGTTAGTTAGTTATAGTTGGACACAATACCTTTATTTAATTAATTTATTTTTATGTGGTGCTGAGGTTACCTAGGGCCTTGCACATACTAGGCAAGCTCTCTGCTGCTGAGCCACAACCAGAGCCCAAGAGATAATTTTTCAGATAAAAAATAATTCAATTACTGAAACATTCAGAGATGGACTGCAGGTTTTTTTTTTTTTTTAATTAAGGAAAAGAACAAAATAGAGGACACAGAGACAAATCCACAAAATTACAACTACCTTATATTAGACCAAGGTGCTAAAACCATGCAATGGAGAAAGGATAGGATCTTCAACAAATGGTGCTGGGAGAACTGGAAATCCTTATGCAACAAAATGAAATTGAATCCCTTTCTCTCACCATGCACAAAAGTCAACTCAAAATGGATCAAGGAGCTAGGAATCAGACCAGAGACTCTGTGTCTAATAGAAGATAAAGTTGGCCCTAATCTTCACCACGGGGAGGCAGGCCCCAAATTTCTTAATAAGACACCTATAGCACAAGAGTTAAAACCAAGAATCAACAAATGGGACGAATTCAAACT